ATTTCTTGTAAACCCAAAGAAAAAAGAAGTAAATCTCCTTGAAGGTATTTTAGGTATCTGATATAATGGAATATGCGTACACCTGTGTTCCACCTCACTGGAATAGGATTGGCTAGTGTCTGTCATAAATACTGATGAACATGTAGGAGAATCAAGAGCCTTAGGTTGAGTGCTAAGTCTATAACGACACCCATTGGACTACGCCATTGAACTACACTTCTTACCTGCGACTACGACGTGTACCAGACGATTACTGCTACCGTATTCTACATGGTTATAGTAGCCAAAACCACTTAGCTACTTCGTTCAAATATATCCCTTTCCGGGAGATATCAGTATCTTACTTAATATTCATGAATCTTACTTGCTTTAAAAAGTTATGAAAATGTTTTAAAAAAACATTTGCTCACAAGTCTGGTAAATAAAAAAGATGCAAGAATGTTTCAAAGCTAAATGCATTGAACATTTGCAGTGTCAAGAAACTGGGGAGAATTTCTTTACAGATAAAAGGATGCTGAGAATACCATGGACAGAACATGTGAGCAATGTGCAAGTTTTAAGGAAAATGGAAACCAAGAAGAACAGTTGGAATCAGAAAGAGACAATTGAAATTTCTGGGACACATAATGAGGGAAGAAGAGTTTGGTGTTTTTGACACTCACAGGGCGTGATGAAGACAAAAAGGGCAGGGAAGAAACAGTAACCTACCTAACAAGTTTGTATAAATGGTTGATGGAACAGGGAGTGGTCGGGATAGTAAGAGGACAAACATTGCTTAGAACTACAAAAGATAGGACGTTGTGGAGAGCCATGATCACCTACCTAGCCAGCTTGTGTAAATGGTTGGCAGAACAGAGTGGGCGGTAGAGTAAGGAGATAAACATTGCCACAATCTGCAAAGGAAAAGCAGTTGTGGAGAGCCGTGATCACCCATGATCCCCATTTGATTAATTAATGTTGGTTTTATTTTATATAATTTTCAGTGCATATTTCTCAACTATTGACACTTAACCTTAGTTGCGATATTATTTTTTAATTGTGGGGGGGGGAACTGTAGTTGACTTCAACTAATTTTCTCTTCCCTTTAGAATTTTCCCAAGTAACATAAAGACAGGATTCCAACTCAAAAAATACCTGTGGCTCCCCACAATGCAAAGCACAAGTTACATTTGGCTCATAATTCACTCTGACCTACATTTGAGTTGTCAAAAATCAGGATTTAATCTGCAAACTCAAAACCCCAAGTGAATTATAACAACACAGCCTAATTATTATGGCTAAAACCACCACTATTTATAACATATTTACATGTCATAAATAAATTTATATAGCCTCATATGTCATAGATAATACATTGTTATTGTTGTTAGAATCCTGTTTTCTTTCCTATTTCTCAATCAGCTTTGTAAAGTACACGATTAATTTACTATGTAGATCTTTGATCTAAATATCTACTTCAAATAAAAGAAAGAGCAATAAAAACTACAAGACTTGAGAGACCTATTTTCCTGAAAAATTTCCAACAGTACAGGTTGCTTGGTCAATGAATGCTGAATGTTTACTTATAAGGAAACGGCTGATATTACCCTTACCATTCTGGAATCCACATTCAGGAAAATCATGAAATAAGGTTTTAGAGTGACCAGAACCTATTCTGTCTCCGTTCTTTTTTTCTTAAAAACTCTTAGTTTCTATGGAAAATCATGACCGAGTTGATATATTTAACATCAGCAAATTTATTTGCAATTTGATGGGTTTATATATATATATATATATATATATATATATATATATATATATTAAGAAATGGACAAGGTCCGACAATTTATTTATTAAAGACATTTTTTTTTATGTTTAACGTTGTTATTTATAGATACAAGTATTTAAGCAAATGCTCTGTTTATGATAAACAGTATTAAATAACATTTACAGGCCTGAATGTCCGAGAAATTTTCATAGAAAATATTAGTTTTCTTTGACAGGATTCGAACCTGCATCCTATACGGAACCGTCATTTACGCTGACATGCCTAACCTCTGGGCCACAAAGAACCTTTCGGTAGACAAGGTCGAATTTACTGCTTATAAACTTCAATCTTCCATGAATCTCGTACATTCATAACTGCTCTGGCGTATCAAATGTAAACAAATGACGTCATATATTAAGAAATGGACAAGGTCCGACAATTTATTTATTAAAGACATTTCTATGAAAATTTCTCGGACATTCAGGCCGGTAAATGTTATTTAATACTGTTTATCATAAACAGAGCATTTGCTTAAATACTTGTATCTATAAATAACAACGTTAAACATAAAAAAAAATGTCTTTAATAAATATATATATATATATACATACATACATACAGTGTAACCCAGATATAAGAGAGTTGTCGGGACCGGAGAAGAAGTCTATTATATCCGGGTTTGGTCTATTTTGTTTACATTAACACAGGCTCTAATTTGGGACCAGAGAAAATCTCTCTTATATCCGGGTTTCTCTTATATCCGGGTTTCACTGTATATCTATATATAGTTATAGAAACTCCATATATGGCAATGCAGAATGGACTCTCAAAACTTGGTTTACAACTAATTTAAGAGAAGGATGGATTACTCTGAATTCCAGATAGTGCAGAAGACAATGTGAAGCCATTCCACTACCCTTCCCTAAGAAGTCATGACAATTCACACATATTAAAAAAAAGAAAAGGAATCTCTGTGAAGCCATGATGACTTATCTCCTGAAGGAACCTGGCATAAAAAAATGTAAAAAGTTAATTTCTGTCTTTATGATTTCATTTTCATCTGTCAGACTCCAGTCTTGTAAGTTCAGTAGGTCTTCAATATTGTTTCATTAAAATATTGACAATGAAAAAAATATGGATACATAAAAATCTATAAATTGTACAATGAAATGCATGGTAGCAAATTATGTGGTACAAAACCATTCAGCAAGTTTTACTGTGTTATTGTTTGTTTTTTTTTGTTCTCCAATCATTTCACTCCAAGCAAGGTAATAAAGCCACTAAGACACAAGGGGTGATAGTGAAGGAAACCAAGAAAACATTACTGAAGAGAGAAAACAATAAAATAACAGGATTCAAGTAGACAAAAGATGGTGATTGGCACTGCATTTAAATTTTTGAAGATCATAATTGTCAGGAAAGTAAGAAGTTGAAAAAATTTCACAAGCAAGAAGTACGAGAGAAGAAACTGTTAGAATAGACGTTACATTTACATCTAGTAATTTCAACTGTAAAATGATGGGACCTAGCTGTCAATCTAGTACTGTGCATTCATTCGTAAAGTTGAGGTACCAAAGAGGAAACCTCATCAGAACAATTGCCATGAAAATATTTTTAGAAAAGGCACAAAGGAAGCGACATTACAGCAGTGGAAAAGTGATCGATGCCAGGATTGATTGATGGCAGATTCTCCTTTAGATTTTGTCAAGAATAAATAGGTGCATAGCAGAAGAATTGGACCAGATGTGGCAGCAGTATTCAATGACCGAATCATTGTTTTTGACCCGATTGGTGGACCTCCTTGAAATTTTTGCTTTGCAAATATTTATTCCTTAATTTATCTCTGTTGTAAAACCAGCTAAGCCTGCACTGTATACCATTGCAGTCTATGCAATTTTAAAAAAAAAGCTTATTTAATATGACTAAGACTATATTGTAAGAATTTGATTCTAGTTTATTACAGAGAGCCTCTGATAAAACTGGTTTCACTTTACATCATTTCATTTAGTTCCCAGGAACCTAACAACCATGTTCGAGGAAGAGCTGCTGTATTTCTGCTTCATTAATATTAGGAGCAGTCTGAAATGTGTTGGACATTAAAGAATTCTGCAACATCTTGCAGGAATTTCAACTTGATACTTGAAACTCTTGCAAGAGAACGGTGCATAATTCTTTCATATTCATATGAAGTACAGATCCTGTTGTAAACTATAGCAAGGGTGTACTGAGGTTGGGGGAAACACCTAACCAATAGCTCTCCCAACCGCTACAGGGGGGTAATAAGCAGAGAAAAGAGACAGGAGGTGACAAAATGACACCACTTCAGAGAGCATACAGAACAAAATGCCCACAGGAGCAACTTCACAAGACACTGAGTCTTGTGCCCTGTTGACTGCTGGTTTTTCCATCAATTTTTATTGACAGGAGACGATTGACAGAAACCTGGATTTAGACAATTTGCATACAGTCCTGTATCTGAACATGCCAAGTTGTTCTGCTGCAAATGGGAGGGGGGACCAAGATATAATTGGTTTTGACAGACATGTCCACATGCAATTTGGGGCCTCTTTTATATCTGTACTGATACACATTCATCACAGAACCATTAAACATATTATTTTTCAAGATAATCTCTTTCCTTTTTAATGCACTTAATTTAGTGTTAAATCTTAATCGGATAAATCTGCCAGTCTAGTGGTGCACTTAAATTCATAACGTACTTTGACTTTATAAATTTAAGTGCAGTACTAGATTGACAGCTAGATTTTGTCATTTTACAATTGAAACTGCTGGATGTAAGCATAAGTTCTATGCTAACAGTTTCTTTTCTCGCACTTCTCATTTGTGGAACTCTCTTCCAGCTTCTTGCTTTAAATGTAATATCAATCATTATATTCTCTTTTCTTGATTCCTGTTCTTTTATTGTTCTCTCTTCTTATTACTGTTTTTCTTTGTCTCATATTCTTTCATACTAAGTAACCCCCTTACATCTTAGTGACTTTATTGCCTTCTTAGGGTGAAATGATTAAAAAAGATAAATAAATAAACATACAAATTAAGTGAAAGGAAAAATTCAAAGAACAATTAAACTTGTATGTATGTTCATCAACATATCTGTAGCCTAATAATTAAAAATACATGTTGTATACAATAAATAAATTTTAATATACTCTCCTTCTTTGTTAATGTACTTAATTCAATGGTGACTCATGCCATGTTAGGATGGCATAATCTTCCATAGACAAAAGGGATTATGGCCATCTCACGTTGAAACACCAGTTCTTGTACAATCACCAAAGTTAAGCAATGTCAATCACGGTTAGTACCTTGATGAGTGACCACTTGGGAATACCAGATGCTGTAAGCTTGGATGTGCAGGTGGTAAATGGATAATGGCTCAGAATTGGAAATCAGAGAGCAGAATTCCAATTTAAGTTAAGTTCGTTATATTCACTTATGCTAACTACTCTTGAGAAAGATATGAATCCACCTCTTTTCCTCCAGCTATAGGGTAATTAGTAGGACTTCTATCAGTAAATTATTATCTTCCAAAAATTCTTAAAACCTCAACATATTTTCTGGCTTTAAATAATGATGTAAAAAAAAAAAAAAAAAAAACAATCAACAAACTTCAACACCCCCTACTATACATAGATTATATCTACTAAAGCAGATATAATCAACCATCAGCTGATATTTACATCTGATTCTGATTTTTTAGTTGTATAAGCTCATCTGTACTCCAGCCCCTGTTTTTTGCCCAAGGTTAGTCTGTTCTGGTAGAATTTATTTGTTCTGTTATTTGAGCCTCTTAATTTTCAATGTAATTTGGAGCATGTGAACTAAATTATCTCTGAAAAACTAAAGATGCATTATATATATATATATATATATATATATAAGTGAACATTGAAGTCAACACACGGAAGCAACAGGCTGTTTCATGCTAGACACAATTGTCTGGTGATTGCGTCTAGCATGAAACAGTCTGTCACCTCTGAGTGTTGATTTCTATGTTCACTTTTATATTTACATATGCTCTATCTCTAATATTGAGCACTTTATCCCATGAATATAGCATATTTTAAAACTACATTTCTTCATATATATATATATATATAATATTTTTTTAACATAGTCTCTTTCATTAATGCACTTAATTCAGTGTTGGATCATAAATCAAATATTATACTGTGAAAATTTCAGACAAATTTTCATCTAATAATGCATGAAGTTCACATCTCTCAAGATGGCCCTAGGGGTCATGCCACTCAACTTCCTTCACAGTCTCAGGGTCAATGCTACATCTAACATTGAAGTTTTAAACATGAGAGTTAAGCCATCAGGATTCTGCTTCCTCTCACATAGCCCTTGTGACTGAGACTGCATAAGAATTTTCAAGATCAAGTCAGTTTCTAACATGTGACCTCCTAGCTTTCCTAATTTGAAATCCCTGGGCTATTACATCTGACTTCATCCCAAGAGAGCAAGACTAACCAACATCCCCACAATACCAAGGACTTATTAAAGGTCATCATCTTGGATGTGATAGCCAACATCAACTGTCTTACCTTGGCATATGGTCACTTCTGAGGCCATCCTTATGACTGAGGTTGTTCTTTTTTTCTTTTTATAATCTTTTTATGTTTTTCTCGGTTAACAATGTGTAGAAATAGTTTTTAAAATTATTCTTTTTCTATTAAATCTTTTTTCCTTATATTTTGTGCTTGATTACCTATTGAATTACCAGTAGGACATAGTATACACTGACTGTATATTCTGTTGAAGGGTAATGATAATATTAGTTGTATCCTTATAAGGAAACGGTTGGCATTCATTAACTGAGCAGCCAGTACGATTGTTAGTTGAAATTTATGGAATCTCTTGCTTGAAATGATTTTTTTAGGAAATTAGGTTTCTCAAATTCAGTAACTGTTGCTGCTCTTTCCAGTATTGCTAAGAGTTTCCTTCCTAACTTTTTGTTTGAATTCGTGTAGATCTTTATTACATCATTATTTTCTCTTTGAGTTACATGTGCTATCCATTTTAGTTTTTGCTGCTATTGAAAGTCCTCAATTGCTGTGGTTTCTGTTATTTGTTTCACTTCTTTGTGATTCTGTAGTGTCAGCTCACAATGTTCAAAAAAGTGTGGTCTATAACAAGATCTACAGGTTTCACTCAGTCAAAGCCATTTTTAACCATCAATCTTAGAAAGTAGTTGTCTACAACTGACAGTTTAGATATTTCTGAACAGATTTGGTACCATGCATTATGTCTGTATGAAAGTCTCAATCTGATGTGGCTAGTTGAAAACATGACTTCAATTCTCGGATTAATGTTTTGGTTTTGTAGCAATGTGCAGTGTTGGGGGAAACTACCTCTGTCGCAACCTATTCTATGTTCAATTTCCTTTTCTCCTATGTTAAATTTGTTATAACTGATCCATACACTAAGGTATTTTAAGTGTTTAGTATTTACTAATGATTTCTGATGATGAATTCAGTGTGAGTACCATCACTGCTTTTGTTCCAATGACTCCTCTTGCACAAATGCGTCATCTACTAGTTAATGAGCTTCAGTAAACATTCTTAAAATAATGACCATTATATTTATCATTGTTATTACAATATTTTGTTAAAGTTGTTAAGCTCAAATATTTAATGATACTTTTCTATGGATATTTTGTTGTCATAGAACTCGCCATGAGCTTATTCATATTTTAACTGAAGAATTAAGATTTATCAGAAAATTAGGCAAACCAGGAAATTTTCACAGGTTAAAACTAGTTCTATCTTAAAATGATAGCTTTGAATGAATGTGTGCATAGTGTTGCAGTTATCATTATGGAAAGAGAAATTGGTATGAGGAGTTCAAGTACTGGTTGTGGTGTTCACTTTTGCATAAATATCCTTAGGAAAGTTATGAATCCATTTTGTTTCTCTTGCTATGGGTTAAATAACAAGGCAGATTGGGCTTTCTTGCCTTGGTTGACAATCAGTCTAGAAGGAAGAGGATAACTCCGAATTCAAAACTGGTTGGACTGAAAACTCTACCCCATAAAACACCTACTCTCTATGGAAACGACAGAAGCAACACCAAGCATTTGGAGGCTCTGCCACTATACCTGGAGTGAGAACGACTTATCTGTCTATAAACTGATCTATTTGCTGACCAAGTAAGCAAGCAGACATTTAAAGAATGAAATTAGTATGTTTAAAACGATAAGCAAATGATTACATACTTAAACTTTGACATTTCTTACAACTGAATTACCTAATGTAACATCATTTTCTCTGAAAAGGCTTAAAGCTATAAACTTAATTGGATTAGGATGAATATATATTCTCTGACAATGCATACACAAATCAATTTAATCCTTATTAATCTGAATAGTTTCATTCTTAAACTGGTAACATTATGCCAAGTATATATTTGTAGAAATAAGTTGAGTGTTGAAGGATGCGTATCTATGATGTAAGCACGGGAAACAGATCTCAGTTGATACATTTCACTGAATCTCTGTCATGTTTTCTCTCTTTTTGATTAATTTCACTTTCATCATTTTATTTCATCCTTCTATATGTGCTCAACTGGTTCATTCCCCACCGTGTATCATCATTCTCTCCTTCACTCTCTCTGTATCCTCAGCATCAGCCTGTTCATTCCCTCTGTTTTCCCCTGTATGATCAGCCTGTTTCCTCTCTCTCTCTTTATATGCTGAGCCTGTTCCCGCTATCTCTCTCACTCTATGTATGGTCAGTCTGTTCTCCCTTCTCTGTGGCCAGCTTGTTCCCATTCTCTCACTTTGTATGGTCAGACTGTTTCCTCTCTCTCTTTCTCACTCTATGTAGTCTGTTCCCCCTTCTCTGTGGTCAGCCTGTTCTCCTCTCCCTGTTTCTCTCTCTCTCTCTCTCTGTATGGTCAGCTCTCTCTCGCATATATATATATGGGCAGTTCTATCTCTCTCTCTCTCTCTCATATATATATATATATATATGGGCAGTTCTATCTCTCTCTCTCTCTCTCTCATATATATATGGTCAGTTCTCTCTCTCTCTCTCTCTCTATATATATATATATATATATATATATATATATATAGTTGTCCTGTTCTCTCTCTCTCTCTCTGTATCGTCAGCCTGTTCTCCCTCTTACTCTCTCTGTATCGTCAGCCTGTTTCCTCTCTTTCTCTCTCTGTCTATCCCACTGCATCCTTATCCCCCTTTGTTTTCCCTCCCTCTCTCTCTCTCTCTCTCTCTTTCTGGTAATCCATAGCCTGTTCTCTCTTTTTCTGTCTGTATCCTCCACCGTTTATCTCTCCTCTCTTTTTTAAAGGCTGAATAGCAGACTGGCTGAAATGTTGCCTTGGAGATAAAGTTGTTGGTGTCTGATGAAAAAAAAACACTTCATCTTGGTACCCCAGCAACAACTAGTGTCCCCACCACTGAAAAAAAATCGAGAATAAATTGTAATAAAGACAATGATATTCTGAGAAAAACTTCAATATAATTATTGCTACATAACGTAGCAAGTTTCTGTGATAAGGAACACATGTTTGAGTTTCACTTGAAGTTATTTCTTTGTTCCAAATTCCCACAATTTAATCTGAAGGCTAATGAATATATTGTCCAAGAACATCAAGGTGTCAAGTAGCAAAAAGATAAAAACTCTTGTCTTTGTTTTGAATGATGTAACATTTGAAGTCAAAAAGTTCTTCCCTTCCCCTACCACCAGCATTCAATGTCCCACAAACCAGCAAATCTTAAATTTGCCCTCCTCTCTAACTACTCTCTCTACTTATCTACTCTTCTCGCTCTCCGTTCGTTTTCTTTATCTATTTATCTATAAGCTGTGTGCACAGGTATATTTGTGTCAAGAGACAAAAGTAAATAGACAAAGTCTTTATCTAATGATCTAAATAATTCCATACAAATTAGAATTTGGTGGCTTTGTCGTTATTTTTTCATCCTTTTCTATTTTTCAAATGCCACGTGTCTTAAGGACATTAAGTCTTGGCCTTCTACAGATTCCTTTTGTGTTATTTATAAATTGCCAATATGTCTTGTGAAAAATAGTTAGATGGCTGCCCATTTACTTTTCCATGGTATTGAATTCAGAGTTATCCTTCTCTTAGACTTCTTACTGCCTAAAGTTAGAGAGCTTAGTCTAACCTACTATTTAACCCATAGCTCGGAGGAGAAGAAATGAATGCTTTTCCCAAAGATATTAATGTAAAGTTAATGTATCTGACCATGAAGGAACTTGAACCCTGTCAACCAATTCCACTTTCTGCCACAATAATCTGCATACTACATGCACATCCTGATTTGCTATTAGCAGACACCTTTTTTTTATTCTTTCAAGCATTGAACAGACAAGAATTGTGTAGAATATTCCACCAGTCTTCCTGGAGGCATGCTGATAAGAGATTAGACTGAGGAATCGGAGAGCCAAGTTGAAATTCCAGTCGAGTTTGTTACATTCAGTTATGTGAAAATATCCATAGGATAAGTATGAATCCATCTTTGCTCTCCCAGCTATGGGCATGTAGCAGTACAGACTGTTTTCTATAGCCTTGGGTGGCAAACAGTCTTAGAGAAGGACAACTCTGGATATCAGCTATAGGTTAAATAGACACACCAACCAGCAATTGGCCAAGGATGGTATATATGGCTACACTTCCTGAAAATATGGTCAATCAGGAAGATGTTTCCTTTGGCAACCAGCAATTAGCCAAACATGGTATGTACAGCTACACTCCCAGGAAACATGATCAATCAGGGAGGTGTTCCTCTCACCAACCAGTAATTGGCCAAGCATAGTGTATACGGCTACACTTCCTGAAGGTATGGTCAATATGGGAGGTGTTCCACTAAGAAGAGAGAAGGATCTGTTCTGGTGAACTTTCATTTCTGCAAATTGAACCACTTCAAATACTTGCTGCTGTGAACACATTTCAGTTAATCATTTCATCAGTTCTTGTCTATGACTTATGAGAAGCAAAAAAAGAAGAAATATTAAAGAATGGTCATTAATATGTCAATTAGACAAGTCTATTTCCACAACACTGAGTATACCAAGTCTCCAGATGTTTTCAAATTTATACCCCTGGGCTGATATATGCTACTACTTTCAACTTCCCCACTCTCCAGCAGTGCTCCCTGTCAATTATCTGGAACTCAAGCCAGAAAGAAGTGTGTGCTTGTCTCCATCCAGATGTGGTCTACCATATCAGATTTCCCCATCTATGCATGGCATGTTGTAAATGCAGATTTTAGTCTGACTTTTTTCTCATAAGCAATTAACTTTTTTTTTATTCTTTGGCAGAAAGATTTTTTTTACACCTGTCAAGAGCTGAAGAAAGGATCATCCAAAACATTATGTTAACAGCTTCTTTTATATGCCATGTCCCCCCAATTCAAGACACATAAGTTCATGGCTCTCCATAACATTTGTAGCTTTAACCAACATTTTTCTCCTGAGCAACCTTCACAGTTCATATTCTACCATTCATTTACATAATCTTATTAGGCATGTTACTTGCTGGGTTTTTTCTCTCTCTCTCTCCCTCTTCATTTCAATATCTTGTGAGTGTTAAATTCTCTGAGTTCTCTTTTCTCTTTGTGTCTAAGAACTTTTCAAACACTTTCTGATTTATCCTTTTTTTCCATTTTACTTAAAAGTTCCTTGTTGCACATGTGTTTCATCTGTTATTATTATCAGTGTCCTTCTATAGAACTGCAACTCTGTTACTTGAAGATGTCAACTCTCCACAGGGAGTCTTCAGCTTCAGTAAGACAATATGGCTGCCCAAAAATGACTAAGCATGTGAAATAGAAATTATCATATTAAATGACCTGACCTTGAATATAATTTAATCTTTTTGGATGAGTTATCAAGAATCTTTTTTATAATATATCATGGAGTTTTATATTCTCTAAAAAGGTATTATTTTTGTACAAATAGACATCAGTTAATACTGGGAGAATTCTCTCTTGCAGAATAGATATCATTTTTATTTTTATTTTATTTTTTGACTACTCCTTGCACTCTACAAATGTTGAATAATCATTACTCTAAATTTCTCTTCATTCTACAATTACAAATCTGCCATGCTAGTGTGTTGCAGGTGGTTGAAATAAAATTCTTCGTTAGACAATCTCCACACTACTAGTTGGCTGCCGTTCAAAAACTGAGAGAGTGATGACTTGGCTAAAAAGATAGCATCGTGCCAAAACTCCAAGGATCCGTCAAGGCACTTATTACATTAGTGAATATTAATCACATGGATCCAATTTCATACAATGAAAATTCCCAAAAATTCATTAATAATTATATAGTGATTTAGTAATGCCTCCTTGTATATACACACATTTTATATATATATAAAATGAATGTGTGTATGAATTGAATCAAATACAGATTGGAATCTGACAGCATAAGAAACATTTATCTAACATGTTTCACTTTTATTAAAGCTTCATCAGAAAATGAGAAAAAAGCAATTTTAGTATTTTTATTTTTGTGTTTTTTGATTTTAATTGATTAATCAGACTTCACATGCATTTGACTTGTTAAATAATGTTAGTATAATTTATGGTATTCCAAACTGGGTTGTGTGTGTGTATATATATATATATATATATATATATATATATATATATATATATAATATATTTTTGGTCTGAAGATTGTGTTTTTGCATGAAACAGATTGTCGCTATTTGTTGTTGATCCCTGTGACCACACCGCTTATATTTGCATATTCCCTATCCTGGATACTGAACACTTTTTATAAATATAGCATGCCTTAAAACTATATTTGATCACATGCATATGTGTATCTGCCTTGGCAGACTTGAAATCGTTCTTGGAGGTGGAGGATAGCTAATTCCTTTTGTAGACGCCTGCTCAGGCACATTTCTGTTTCTTTAATAGCTAGGGAGCCAACCTCTGGCTTATATTACAACTATGCTGACTAGACCTTAGATATAGTGTCTGGGAAAGCACATTTTCTGGCATGATCAGTATTAAACAAGGCTATTATAATCAAACACTTGGTCATAGTGACTTGCAACGGCATGCTAGCACAAGCATTGATGGCTTCCGATAATATGTTTGAACTTGTAGACTTTGTGTGTAATATAGTGCCACAGCCTCACTACATGAGGTCGTGCAGCCGTTTTTCAGTAGCAAGTAGGTTTGACAAGAGGAGTTGCTAGCCCCATGCACAACTGGTTTTTAATTTACAGTTGTTCTTATGCTAAACTTGTTGCCAACCAAGACTAGAATACCTAGTCTGCTGTTATTTAATCTATAGATAGGGGGAAGAAGAGATGGATTCCTACCTTCCCCAAAGACATTTATATAAAAATGTTTGGCTTGCTGATTGCATTTCCCTTGCTGATCAGTGCTATGCTACATGTCCATGTATTATATATATATATATATATATATATATATTATTTAAACATATATTATTGAATATAACAGGCAATGAATGTCTATTATGTCTGATCATGAGCTGTTCTAATTGTCCAACATTTTTCACCTGAAATTAAAGCAAACATTCAGACATTAGAATGGCTCATGATCAGACATAATAGACATTCATTGTCTGTTATATTTAATAATATATGTTTAAATAATGATCTGTTATGATACACACACACACACACATATATATATATATATATATATATATATATATATATATATATATATATATAAAAGGATAAGCAGCTCCCAAAAGAGTTTGCTTAAAATTGCACACAGTCAAAAAGAGTGCTCAGAGCTTTTATATATTTTTCAAGGCAAATTTCAAGTGGGCAATGACAGACTGCAACTGCCAGTTTCATATGCTTTCCAACCACTTTGCATTTGAAGAAAAACATGAAACTAGCAATCACTGTCCACTTGAAATTTGACTTTACAAATAAATGTGTGTGTATAAAAAAAATCACATAGAATATATCTGTAAAAGGACAATATTAATAAAGGCAAAAGGAAAACTTATCTTAGCTGACATGTTTCATCCTGTAAGGGATTTTATCAAAGCAAATTTATCCCATTTGCCTTGATAAAATCTATCTGAGGATGAAACATGTTGGCTAAGATAAGTTGGCATTTTTATTCTTTATTTCTATATATATATATTTATATATATATATATATATATATATATATATATATATATATATATATATATGAAGAAATATACTCTTAAGGTGTGCTATATTTATGGGATAAAGTACTCAATATCAGAGATAGAGCATG